TTATAGCCTTTGACTTGAAGGAGCTGTGTGAAAGCCACATATTTTTACTGATGGAATAAGTTCGCTTGCCTAGTATTTCAACTAGAATTAAACAGCGCAAGCACTCCTCCCTATATATAACATATGTATGTACACTGTGTTCTTATGCCTACCATATGGATGGTTTCAGGTAAGCAGAACCACTGCGTTACAATTTGCTCTTTCTGACATGAACTATTGGAGCTAACACAAATAAAAAATGGGCTGCCAATGAGCTGCTGCTGAGATGTGTGCCACTCCCAGGACAGCTAACATCTGTAGCCCTAAGGATGATGGCACTGCCACTGCCATTTAAACATCAGTGTTTGACTGCAGACTGGAGGAAGCATTTAGTATTGATAACGTCTGCCTTGAATCTCCTGAGGACGAATAGGAAGAACAGTACGCAGGAAGCGATATTGCTGTTGGTTTTACCTAGCCTTCAGGCAGTTACCAAAACTGTGGCCGCTGAATGGCTCTTGAATGATCTGCATGAGACGAGTTTGGTGTTTGAATTCAGTTTCCAGTGGGAAGTTTGTATTTCAGAAAACATGCAGCCAATTAGCACCTGCTGGGCTGCCTGTTTGGCAGCTGGGAAGAGGCCAAAGATTAAATGCTTTTCAAAGACAAATTCACCTTTTATCCATACGGGTTAGGGGAGGAGAGTGACAGGGAAGAAGCATATGGTTTTGCCCGAGCTGTTCTGTTCCTGCCTGCTCAGTATATCTGAAGGATTTCATGGAGAGCGCAAGGTAGCTATGGTACAGTGCTGCCAGCTCTCCTTGTTTGGGTTAAACATGATGTAGAGCTGCTGGATCTGCGGGAGCCAGCTCTGTGCCAGCAATGAATGGCAGGTAATAAGTTCTGCTTGGTCTGAGCTGACCTTCCATGGAGCCCTGCAGGTGTCTGCACCGTGCTCTCCATGGTTCATGTTTCTGGGCATATGGTGCTGAGACATGTCTGCTGGGCTGATTTGCTGGGGTTCTGCATTGAACAAAAGTAGCTGAAACTTTTCCAGAATGGAGATGGCCCTCAAAGAATTAAAGACATGTTTGAATGGGGATGTGTTTGAGCTAATGAGTTCTGTTATACCTGAGCTGGCTGTGTGCCTGGGCCCTGGAAGCAAGAGGTGAGTGCACGCATACCTGTTGCTTGTTACAGGAAGGATTTTTTTTTTTTTTCCTTTGTAGTACTCGGAACACGTATACTCAGGCCCCTCCTGGCGCCTCCTTGGTGCACAGGTATACAAGGCAAAGCACACCCACCACTGTGTCTGTTCTCACTTGCTGAGCAAGAGAGAGGTTGTGCCTGGGCTAGCATTGGCATCTGCATCCATGCCATGGTTTCTTCACAACCCGAGTAAACCATCTGAAAAAAAAAGTCAAAACAAATTAGGGCTGTTGCCCTAATAAAACATGCTTTCTTTTAAGCATTGGTTCGTGTTAAAGCAAGGGCCGTACACAGCTGGTGCCTTTTAAAAGAACAGAAAATAAAATGGATGGAGAAAAGCTGACAGTTATCAGGAACGGAATGTGCTCCCCTGAAACACTGATCTTGGGTTGCTCTGTTCTTTGTTCTTTGCTGTGTTCAATGCAAGCAGGTCCCAATCACAAGCTCTATCCCTCTCCCTTAAGAATATGCCTACCCCAGAGAAACTCACTGCCCTGCGTGTCAGCTGTTCCCACTGCTGTCCCACCCCAATAGAGGGGTTCTGTGGCCGACGTGCAGCATACCAGGTCTGCTGCTGATCAGATTTGTTACTAAATCAGGTAATGGTTTAGTATAACTTGTTCAGAAGTTTAGCATCAATGTGTACGACATCAAAACTGGCTTGGTAGCCTTTCTGCTACTGTTGTGTAGAACAGGTTTTTTTAATCTGCCCAGAAGCTAGTGCATGAAGATAGAATGTGTCAGTTATTGCCTGTATCATGGGGATACCAATCTTGTTGTGCATACACTGGTGCAGTCTCAGTGGCTCAGGTCTTGAAGACTTGGCCCATCTTTTATCCTTGCAAAACTTGCTTTCAGTTCTCGACAGATCAGTATTCAGTCAGGGGCTGTGCACAAATCCTGTTACTTGAAAGAGGAAGGAATTTTTCTTTGTAGCATTTGTAACTTGTACTTGCACCCATTATTGTCACTCGGTACATAGGTGTATAAGGCAGACTATGCTCATCGCCCTTTCAGTTTCTCACTTACCCTGAAGAAAGCATGCTCCATCAATGAACTTTACATAATGCACCTGCTTTCCTGGTGCCTGGTTTTCTTTAGTCATAGTCTGGAGATGAACACTGCTTTGTGTCCTGCAAGTTGCTATCTGTGATAGTAGTCTTTGCAGTGGTAATTTCAAGTGACCCTCCACCTTGACCTAGCTGTGGTAAAAGATCCTGCTAATGGTTCCCTATTGTAGGTATCTTCATTGTCTCATGGAAGGTTGTAAATCAGCCACAGCAGCATCTGCTGATCCTTTAAACCTTGCCCCAAGAAGATACAGAAGCTTCTTCTGAAGGAGGTCCTGTCCTTCCGTCCTGGTGCCAGTGAGCAAGGTGCCAAATCCAAGTGCCCAGCTCAGCAGCAGTGTAGTGTCCATCTTCTAGTAGAGTTCCAGCTCAATCGAAAAGATCTAGTGCCTCTCCCCTACCCGGTCCATTAGCTTTTCCTGTTAGTGCTTGTGGCTCCTGCTCCTGGCTTCCAATGAGGGTGCTAGACTAGGTGAACTGGCACTGAGGGCATCTGTGCCACCCTCATTCC